ACACAGTTTTAGAGCAAATATTTTTTACAGTCACAAAGCAGAATCTTAAATATTACCTTATAATATGTGATACAGGTGCTATAAGTGAGCTTAACGCGTGCAGCAACTTACAAGCATTTAATAAATTCTAAACACATTGTTACAGGTCAAATACCTATCCTATCCATACTATCACACAGGTGAGGCTGTTTTCCAGCAATGAATGTGTCAGTGCTTGGCTGAAGCCTAAAGTTTTGTGAGACCTAAAGTTTTGCAGGACCAACCCGGCAGCACCCCAGCTGCTCTACCGCAGGGTCCACAACATAAGCCTGGTCTGCTGGGGGGGCAGCACTCCAGCGGCCTCTCTGTAGCCTGCAGGATGTCTGGGGAGGGGCAAAGTTTTGGGAGCTGCCCCCCTCCTCCCCTTGGTCCCTCCCCCCGCAGAGGCATGGGACCCCGCCGCCACTGCGGCTTTGCTCCGGGCGTCCCTGGTCTGCTGGAGACGGTCCCCAGCAGACTAGGGGCACCCGGAGCAGCTTTTCTCGCCCCGGAGGTCGAGGTGGCGGGACCGCTGCGCTCTGGGCGGTCCCGCTGCCTGCGAGCTCCGGGGCGAGAGAGCCCCGTTCGTAAGTGCTGATCCAACGTAAGTCGGATCCGCGTAACTTGGGGACTGCCTGTATACACTTTCCAATTTAGTAGAGTAGCTGAAATAAAATCTGTTAAATTGTCCTTATTTTACTGTAAATCCTGAGCATGTACGTTTTGAAGTGCAACCCATTATTCAGAGTTTTTGTAGTTTTTACCTTTGGTGTCAGTAAATCATTCAGTACTCTAATATTGCCTCTTGGTGGTGATGGAGAAAATACTAAGCAGATTTTTCTTTTGGTATTATACTAATAAGAAAGCACTGTCACTTTTCACATATCTTTTGTAATTTTTATAAATGTTCAGTAATTTTATCAGAAGTGCTGAAGTGATGATTTAGTGCTTGAAGAAAATGTCTTCTCCCAATGAGCCAAATCTTGCGATCTGAGCTCAGGCTTCATGGCCAAATGTGGGTCTTCAAAATATGAATATCTACTCTGAAGTGACATGATGCTGAATATAGTCTGTTAGCAAATGAATCGAACATAAAAGTTGTTCACTCAGTGAAGAATGTTGAACATTTGTAATAGTGAAGTTCCCCAGTTGTTGATGCAAATGTTTAAAGTCTGCATTTAAGTAAAACCATAAACAGTGTGAAAACAATTTGTTGTTAAAAAATAGTTCTGTAGATACTTTACATGGACCTCTTCAGAAGTAAAAACAAAACAAATGCCAGCCACCTCACTGGATATGAATAATCTTAATATGTTTTAGACATAGTATTAAGTAAAAGACAGTTACTGCAAAGGCTTTATAATTTCATATCCAGGTAGATTGTAATTTGTATTCGTGCATTTTATCAAATGTTATATAGAGTGCATTGTCAAACGCAGGATATTTAAAAAAACAAAACCCTAATTGTACAATGGTGACCAAACAAGTTATTTTTTACAAGCTGCAGCTCTTGTCCTGTAAACCACCTCAGATCCCCATTAGATATTCATTTATCTATATTCAAATTTCAGAGTAACCATTGAGCCACAGCATGAACTCTTACTTTATACTACTGTTGGTAGTATGGTGACAGATATAGTCTTAGGAAATTAGGTTGGACAGTATTAGATGGATGGCCACATATGGTATCATCAGTAGGCTTAGTCATGCTTATTGTTGAAATCTGTGACTTACCCTCAGTTAACATTAAATGGCTGTCATTTAAATTTCAGTCATGTTTGCTTTGCAAGAATATCCCTGAATCAAGTATCCAAAAGCCCAGAAATTCAGTTCACAAATTAGAATGCAGACCTCCTCCAAGGGATATAGGAAATGCTAAAACAAAATTATTGAACTATTGCCGAAGTTTTTTCAATATATCACATGCACTTTCCCAAATACTTTGCCTGAAAATGTTACTCACATATGCACTAGAGGAGTGTATGTAAGTGTACAAATAACAAATAATGGAGTGGGTGTAGAGAGAGTGGGGAGACGAAACAACATTATTTCTTGAAATATGAAATGTGTTATGATTAATCACATATTGTAGAAGCTAGAGATGGGAGGAACCTGTGGGCTCATTTTATCTACCTTCCTAATACAAGATAAGAGTGTTCCCTGCAGAATATTCTTCAGGGTTTCTTCCAACAGGGCTTCCATTCCTTTGGGTGGCTATTGCCTATTATAATTGACCTCAATGACAGGCAGTTTTCCTCAGTCACCCTACATTTTCTGTTTCTTAATTGTATTTCACTCTACTCCCTTGGGGGTGGGGGGTGTAATTCCGGGAACCAGTGAAATCCAGAGCAAATTCTTGTCCTCTTGTACTGTTCTCCTCTTATTCATTGTTTTATCCAAGAATGAGATATTGAGTTTTTATCTTTTTCTTACAGATCAGTTTTTCCAGTGATATCTTTGTTGCTCTGCTGAGAAATCATACTCAATTTATGGATACATTCCTGATTTGGGGTGCCTGACAAAAAATATACACATAATTATTGGCTTCACTGAGATTTGGCATCTGTACACCACACACACACACACACACACACATTTGGTTTGGTTTTTTATTTAAAAATTTTTTATACCCACAACTCAGTTTCCTATTCACTAAGGTCATGATCTAAAGTCTGTTAAAGTAACTGGTTCTATTGATTTGCATGAACTCCATTACCCCAGTGTCCTTATTTGGCACTGGCTGGCTTTCCATGTACTTTTTCCTTCTATTGTACACCTATATTTCACTTTATTTTTTCCTTAAGATGCACTTTCTTTCCTATTCCCAGAAGGAAACTTTTTTTTTCTCTCCATTTTTCCATCCTCTGTAAGGGTCAATCCTTCAATGTGCTGAGTAAATGGGACTATTCTTGCGCTTAAAATAAAACATGTACTCAAGTGCTTTATTAGATTGTAGCCTGAGTGCTCAGCAATCTCCAGATTGAGCCCTGTAAGTCTTTATTTTTCATATCACTGATTTTTAACATCTCCTCCTGATATAGCATCATTTGTTAGGGGATTAAAAAGCACATTAGTGATTTTAATCAGGGAGGTTAATAAAATAGGATGCCAAACCATATCTAAAATAGTCCTTGTGACACTGAGGAGGACATTTACTCTCAAGTAGACTCATTGTACTATATTGATAGTTAATTTATAGTTTTTCATCCAATGTTCAGTCCATTCTTGAGTCAATTTTTCATTAATCGCACAAGTAAAATGTTGACAGGCAATGTATACAACTTTTTGCTAAAATCTTCATCTTCTATTGTATTTTGAATACAAAATATGTACTGAGTGCTTGTCTGTAGATACCTGTACATGCTCTTAAAATTTCAAACGAATCTAATGTTTGTTGCCTGGTTGCAAAAACAGGGCTCCAATCATCTGTCCTCCAGACCAAATTCAATTTTATTTTCTTATCTTGAGTAAACAGCTCCTGTCCAAAATCTTGCATTCCTCCTTGCCTGAGATCTAAATACTGTTTATAAGTATTTGACGAAGATATATTGTGCCGATCTGTGCCTAATGAAGCATTAACCAAAGTAAATGATGAGTGGCAGTTTAATCAATCCAGTATGTTCAGTAACCAACAAGGGCATATGGACCATAATTTTTTAATCTCCTTCTTTTCAAATTTACTGAATGCAACTAGGAATGGCTCTGAACTGTGTATTTTTTTAAGGTAAAGGAAGGTTTTTGCATAAGATATTTAATCTTTCAGTAGTATAATCAGAAAATAATTATGTATTATAAAAGCTTTCTTTTTGAATAAGTCTGATCATCTCCTGTTGCGTTTAAAATACAATTATCTCAATTCATTCTGAATTTATTAATGAATGTGGTCTCTGCTGGTGATCTTTGCCGACTAGTCTCTGCAAATATTCAGTTAGACAGTCCCTCATGAAAACATGCAATCTGTTTTCATTAGGAGACTTTCTTCTAGACATACTTCTCACTATACACACAGTCACCTAAAATTAAATGCTGCTCTGTAAATAAACAAACATCATCATGCATGGGGTGAAGGGGAAATGTTTAATTATATATTCCAAACAGTCAGCTTCTGCAAACAAAGTTCAATTAAAGGTTAAGGTTGGGAATTTCAAAGATGACTATAGGATACAACTTGGATTTGTAAGGAATTGTAGTAATTAAAGGCTAAACCCTTTTGTTGCTTTTGTGAAAGCTTAACCTATATTGTAAAAAATGTATAACAGCATAAAGCTGTTGGGTTGATGTATTTTTGTGTTGTTAAAACTATCTCTTGGGAGTACATGTGCACAAATGAGTACAAATGAGTATGTCCGGTTATAGTGTGTATTTGTACTGAGTGAGCATGGACAAGAATATGGATATTTAGAAAAAATGTAATTGAAACAAACACAATTAAAATGTTTTATCAAATCATGCATCCCACTAATGTTTAAATGAGTTATTAGCTCTTGAATGGCAAATCTTGGAGAAGATGCAAATCCCATTTGAAGAAGCAGTTAAGGGTCTGTAGCTTTCCCTGGGGATGCACACGTGTCTGAACCAACTGACATAGCCACAGCCCTGGGGAACTACAGAAGCTTGTCTTGAGTCTTTCAGAGAGATTTCCCCTGCTGCTGCCCTTCTTATTCTAGCAGCCAATCCACATCTTTCTCAAAGGTGCTGTGAGGCCTTATTTGAGATGCTGCCCAAGGTTTTGACTCTAGAGGAATAGATCTTTTTTATACATTATCCGTGTGACACCTAAGCAGAAAACTGTTCCTTGAAAATATGATTGAAAAGACATATTTAAAGATTGGTTTTCAACACATTCATCCTTTCTAGTTGTCACCCTGGCACCCTTGTACACAGTAGAATATGGTATTGTAATGCTGCTGATAATGACAAGTATTTAATGTATTAATTATTTAATCTCACGCAAATCTAATGATGTATCCTTTTTTAAATAGGGGAGTGGGCTGTATCTTTGTAGAAATGATTCAAGGAGTTGCTGCTTTTCCTGGAATGAAAGATATTCAAGACCAACTTGAAAGGATATTTCTGGTGAGTTCTTTATTTCTAGATGAATATGTATATACATAATATGCTACCTTCCAAATGTGTGTAATAACATGTAGCTTTAAAAAGCCCCAAGGAGTTATTGTAGTGTTTACTTTTCTCGTTTGGCGCACAGGTGTCAAACACCCAGCCTCAAGCCAGATCTAGCCTGTCCTGTTACATTTTTTAGGCTAGCATGGCTTATTCAAATCTTGCAGAATCCAGGTCTTCATTTAAAAAAAAAAAAAAAAAAAAAGGATGTTTTGAGTAGTCATGGCTCTACAGAAGGCTTCCAAATGTGAGCCCAGTGAACAGAAATGCTAAGTTGCTATGCTGATTTTGCAAACAGTCTAAAATGACAACTCAGAGCTGCCCCCAAGAATGTTCTTGAGCTATTTTAATGTTAACATTAGCTCTTTTATTGATGATTATTTTATCTGATAAAATAGGTCATGGTGCGGGCAATGGTGAACATAAGCCAGTGCGCCCGGGGTGGTGTACTGGTAAGAGAATGGCTGGCTAGGGGTGCAGCTCTGGATGCTGCTAGCCACCGTACATGGGTAAAGTTTACATGCCTGTTCTGAGTGTGGGCAATCTGTCCCTCCCCTTCTGCTGCCCTTCTACATAGGAATCCATACCATCCACTCCCGGCCACAGGATGCCACTATTCCAGCTATGGCTCCTGTGCGGCTGTGGCTACGGATCCCCATCAGCCCTGGGGATCTGGAGGATGGGCAGTGCAGTGGCCACACTCCTAGCCTGAAGCTCCCCCCATCCCATCTAACCCCCTGCCCTGACTCCTATACCCCTGCTCTGAGCCCCCCCAACACTTCCAAATCCCCTTCCCTGACTCCTGCACTCCCACACATCACCACCTTCTTCCTGAGCCCCCTGCACTCCACCCCACACTCACATTTCTATACTTTATTTGGCAAAAGTACTTAACAAATAACTGACAGCAGAGAGAACTGCGGTACTTAATTCTAGGGAGGTGAAGGACTAGTCAACTAGCTGATAATCAAATGCCTATTGGATAGTTGACTAGTCACTTCCCCCCACCTTGCTGCCTGTATCAAAAAGAGGCATGGGTGAGAGGAGAAAGAGGAGGGAGTACTTCAAAGTGGCAGTGCCACGTGGAGCCTGGGGCCAGACCTTGGGCTCTACGTGGAGCTGCCGCTTTGAAATAGCGTGTGCAGCCCAGGGCCAGCTGGGGTGTACCCAGGCTGCACGCAACATTTCAAAGCAGCAGTGTCACGTGGAGCCCTGGATGAGCTGGGGACACTCCCACTTACCCTGGACTCCACGCAGCGCTGTTGCTTCGAAATGCTGCATGGAGCCTGACTCTGGGCTCCCCGCAGTGTTTCAAAGTGGCAGTGTTTCAAAGAGGTCCGCGGGGGAGTCCCCAGCTGATCAAGGGCTTGATGCAGTGCTGCCACTTTGAAACACTGCATGGAGCCTGATGCTGAGCTCCCCATGGCGTTTCAAAGCGGCAGCACCGCATGGAGCATGGGGTCAGCGGGAGTCCCCAGTTGACCCTGGGCTCCACGGAGTGCTTTGGCCTTTGAAGTTAGGGCGCCTCCTTGGCTGTTGCTATCGGCTAATGGAATAGTCAATGCAAAATGCACCAACTCTTTGATTAGTCAGTTATTTGCAGTTTAATATCCTTACTTAACTCCCAGTACTGCAGTTTGATTGGCCCATTCATGGGCTGCACTGACAGCTCATTGATCTAATGGCACCGCAACAGTTGGGAAGTCCAGTTCGTAGTGGTCTTCTGGATCTGTTGCCATTTGTGCCTGTTTTCTTTCCCCATCAGTCCTCACTCTTGTGTTGATTTGTTATTTTCCTGTTTCTAAAGCTAGATTTCCCATTTTGCTCTGGGTTTTGGCCAGTGTACTTTTTTAAGAGGCTAGGAAGTATGCCTTCATTTTATAAACCAGTGGTGAGCTACATGAGCTATTTCTTCCTCTTCAGAGCCCTGAGGAGCTTTGCAACTGGTTAGCAGGTGGCCAATGCAGATTATTGAGGTAGCCAATTTCCTCCAAAATGCTGGTCTGCCTGGCTTCTGATTGGACTATTCCTGTTTATTGTGTGGCAAACAGGGAAGGCTTCAGAAAGAAGCACTCACCTGAGCCCTGGTACAAAAAACGGGGAATCTGGAGCTTGCTTAGTCCCAATCCTTGGGTGGATTTAGCAGGACAGGTTTAGTGGTAGCTTTCTCTGAAAGTGCTCTGGCTTCACAGCCATTGTCTGTGAGCTGCACTAGATTTATCCTTCCAGGTTAATTTGTGTGGAAATGAGCAGGCTGGCAGTTCTTTTCCTCGTTCTGTTACAACATAGCTATTAAAAGTTGTGACCTTCTTTTGTAATGAAATCTCTGTGGTGTGCTATTCATTGTGATGCCTGGGCAATTAATATTTGATCCCTGCTGTTGAGATACACTTCAGCTATGAAAAACGGCTCTATGATTGTCATTGTAGAACTCCTTGTTTGCCCCTCAGTGATTTCTACATCACAGTGTTTCAGTCTTTGAGCAAAACGTGTTTTTTGTAAATGTCAGTTCGGCAAACTCAGCATAGGATGTGAAAGTCACATTATGTTCTTTCTGCCTTTTGTCAAAACAGCTGTGCAGCTAGATCAGTGATGGGCAACCAAAAATAGTGGGTGGGCTGCATGAGTGGGCAACCAAAAATAGTGGGTGGGCTGCATGAGTGGGCAACCAAAAATAGTGGGTGGGCTGCATGAGTGGGCAACCAAAAATAGTGGGTGGGCTGCATGAGTGGGCAACCAAAAATAGTGGGTGGGCTGCATGAGTGGGCAACCAAAAATAGTGGGTGGGCTGCATGAGTGGGCAACCAAAAATAGTGGGTGGGCTGCATGAGTGGGCAACCAAAAATAGTGGGTGGGCTGCATGAGTGGGCAACCAAAAATAGTGGGTGGGCTGCATGAGTGGGCAACCAAAAATAGTGGGTGGGCTGCATGAGTGGGCAACCAAAAATAGTGGGTGGGCTGCATGAGTGGGCAACCAAAAATAGTGGGTGGGCTGCATGAGTGGGCAACCAAAAATAGTGGGTGGGCTGCATGAGTGGGCAACCAAAAATAGTGGGTGGGCTGCATGAGTGGGCAACCAAAAATAGTGGGTGGGCTGCATGAGTGGACCACATGACCAGTGGTGGGCAACCTGCAGCAAGCAGCCCACCGCACATCCTCTCTGCCATCTTCCCTGGTGTGCCTCTCGCACACTGGAGCCCTGCAGTTCCTGCTCCTCCCCCTCCCAACCACCACTTTCACGCTCTGTCCCTCTCCCTCCCAGAGGTACATCAGCCCTGAACAGCTCTGGGTCTGGGAGGGAAGAGGAGCAAGGACAGAGTATGAATCAGCCAGTTCACGGCATTCCAGAAGTGGTAGGATGAAAGGGGAGGAGTAAGAAACGGCCTTCCAGCTCGGGGAGGGAAAGGAACAGGGACAGAGCACAAATCAGGAGATCTGTGGTGCTCGGAAATTGCTGAGAGAGAGGAGGAGGAAATGTGGGGCTCCAGTGTGCAAGGGAGGCAGACATGGGTTTGTGGGCCACAGGTGGACCCCACTCGGTTGCATGCAGCCTGCAGGGGTTGCCCACCACTGAGCTAGACCCGCTATAATGTATGGCTATGTCTCCACTGCACACTTATTTTGAAATAAGTTATAGTGCATGTCTACATAGCAAGCCTGTTATTTCGAAATTACAGTCTTCTTACTCTGTCTCCCGTAACAGAGGAGTAAGAGAAGTCGAAGGAAGAATGTTCCTCCTTTGACTACCTGCTGTGTATACAGCGCCAAAAGCCAAATTAAGCTATTTCAACTTCAGCTATACAATTGATGTAGCTGGAATTGCGTATCTTAACTCGACTTTAGCCCACAGTGTGGATGTACAGTAAAGGACTAAACTGGTTCAGTGGTGAATGAAAGCAGGGTATGAATGACCTCTCCTCTGACATCTAGTGATAAGCTAGGAGAAAAGACTTCAGGAAGAGACTAGATTGCCTAGGTGAGTAGTAGATGGAACTGCTTTGCCAAAATGATCATTTTTTTATTTGAGTGAAGAATAATTTCTGTTTACAGACTCTCTCTGTTCACATTACATGTCATTTAGTTATCCTAAATGTTATTCCTAAATTTTAATCAGTGCATTTCCTTCCAAAATACAAGAGTTTGTGAGAGAAGGAAATTCAATCATATTTCAAAACCTGGCATAGATTAATAAATCTTACTAATGGATTTTCTTTATATATTTCAAGAGGTATGTTTTAAAATACATGACCACAGAATACTGCAGAACTAAAGGATCAATGGAAAAGGCAGGTTGTACTATATATCTGCTTTCAGAACACTACAATATTGCATGAAGTCTTAAAAAAATGTGAACTAAAAAAATGTCTTACCAACAGACATTTATTAAGTAAAAGATACTACCTCACCATCTTGTCTCGGAGGAAAAGATGACTTTGGCTGGCTGATCTGTATTTCATAGCTGTTATAAGGACTCAGTATGTGGGAGTTAATTGTATTAGTTATCTTAAATAGCAACCTGATTAATTTTGCACTTCAAAGTTATTAACCACCTTAGTGTACACAATTCACCAGAGAATGAATGAATTTAATCCTATTCAGAAACAAAGGGAACAAGAATAATCCCTTGTTTTATAACTTTTAAGTAGATAACTTCTTAAATTCTTAATTATGAAAATGGTATATTAGAGAGGCACTTTAGTTAAGGATGGCTAGAAGGTTCTATTACAACTCCCTATTTTAAGGGGATTTTAATTAGGATTTAAGAATTAACTGTGGTTAAACACGTCATAAAAGTTTCAATCTAAAAGCTTCTTTTTTCTTCTTTTAATGTTTGTACAAGGTCATTCTGACCTAAAGAGATTAAGTAAAAAATGTATCCCTGGCTATTTGAAAGCCTGAGCTTGTTATTTACAGCTACAGTTTTAAAACTTTCTTCTAAATTAAAATTTGGAAGG